TAGCACCATTAGTATCTTATGCAGCAACAAACTGGAGTTCTCAGAAGCAATGAGGACCCAAAGTGGATAAGCTTTTTCCAAGTAATAATGTTGTAAAAAAAAAAAAGTGTGTGTTTTTGTAGACAGGATTTCTTCTATACAAAATACAATTAAAGGAACAATGCACACAAACAAAAATACAGCTTTACATTTAACAAGGCTATTTAAAATCTACTATCTTAGCAAAAAAATATAGGGATTCAGTTTCACCATATGGCCATATTGTGTTAAGCCCACCACTACATCACAGTACCCCAATACCGATTGGTCCTACACTCATTTTAACATGGGAGATTTACATGCTAACTTGCAATACTTACTTGCACTATAAACTGCCTCAAGAGACTCCTCAATTTAAGCTTTCCTATGGTCACCCCCAAAGGGGCACCCATAGTGGATGGATGGGATGCTCAGCCCAATAGGAATCTGGTCTGGATTCCAAATCTGCAGAGAAAAAAATGGGAATTGGATTTCTTCTATATTCAGACAAAATTATTTAGTTTGCAGAGGAATATGGTTATTCCTTTGTGAGTTTATCCTGGACATGCCCCACATCCATCAGTAGTAGCTGTGATTGCAGTTTTTGATCAAGTATAAGTGATACAATGGTTAATCATCTTTAGTGTATCAAATATTTCAATATACTCTAACATTGTAACATGCACAAAATATTCAATTTCAATGCATAGAGATGCTATTTGTTTAACAAGAAATATAATTTCATTAATCCTCATGATACTCAGATCCCACGGTGCCGTGTTAATGAGTTTAACACCATCTCAGACCTAAAATATTGAATTGACACAACTCCACTGACACATCTCATTAGCTGAACTTGTTAGGCAAACAATGTCCCCTCTACTTCTCCACCCCATACATTACTGTTCCTAAAAGTGTGTCTCTGGATTTTTGACTGGTGCAAATGACTTGTATGCATTGTATACTGTGTTTATGGAAATGTAATTCATCAGACTCTGAGAATTCAGGCAAGTCCTAGACAGAACAAGAACATGTAAGTGTAAGGGGGAGTGTATAGATTGAATGGTACTGAGGTCTTAAGGGGCAAAAGGGGTGGGTTAGTACAAATAGGTAGGCAGCTTACAGGACAACAGCAATCTTAATTATCAGTTGGTAACAGCTTGGTAATTGAGTGGTAGTGGCTCCTCGTGTACCTGCTTGCCAAGTGCTGTTTTTGGCCAGGGTCTCAGTATGGACGTTGAAGCTGTCCTTTCTGCCCTCAGGGATGAGGCCTTACAAGATGGGGTATGCACCTGCAGGCTCAGCTGTCTTGTCTGCAGGCATCCACGCCCGGCATATCATCCCTCCTGGGGAGGCTATGGGCTCTCCTGGGCCCGGCCTTTGGATCAGTCAGTCTGCAGTAGCGAGGCTTGTTTTACTCCTGTTACTACCCGGCGGCGGGGCTGTCCGCTGCAGCCCATGCCCGTCTCCAGTCTTGTCTTCCTCTCCAGCCCCTCGCAGCAGGAGCCGCAGTCCTACCTTCCCGGCCAGCTGGTTCGTGGCTAGCAGGCTGATGCCACTCCTGTGCAGTCTGGATCTACTACCGGGTCCACCAAGGGTTTTCCAGTGGCCCGATCATCTCATGTGAACCTGCCGCGTGCGTCCGGCGGCCCAGGCAGGTGGAGTGGTGGACGGTCCTCCAGGCGGGTGAGTAGGCCGCAGGGTGTTTCCCGAGTGACAGAGGTTTACCCTCCCAAGATGGGGTGTGTGGCAAAACCGACCTCGCCATTGGGCATTGGAGAGGACTGATTGCCAGCCTCGTGCCATGTGACTATGGCCCCTGGGATGTATTTCACTTTAAAGACATGATTTGGGCATAATGGATTTGTGTTGTGCTGCTGCTGGCCCTTTAAGAACCATCTGGGGACATACTGTGGAATTACTGGGTGGCCACCATTTCATGTATCAGAGGCACATGGTGAGAACAATGGATGGTGGCTGTTTGGACTTTTCTACACGGTGCCATCTCGCCGGTATTTGGTGCACAAAGACATCGTGCAGTAGTTTTAAACTATACAACAGGGAACACATTATACAGTAATTATTTTTCATATAGCCTGGATATGTTCTGTGGAATCTGCATTAAACTGCATCTTCCAAACTACGGAACGGATCTGGGTGAATTTTGGATATGTGGATCACCCAGATCACCTGGTTCCGAGGATATATGGGGTTATTGCATGTTTTGGGGTCCCTGTGATATGTTTTATAATACTGTATTTCTCTGCCTGTGATAATTATATTAACCATTGTGTTCAGTAATCACATCACAGGCAGAGGGGAGGATTTTGTGTGGGAGTGTCTGTGTGTATTGTACGGATTGATTGGTTGCATTTAAAAACCCTGTGGGCAGTACCATGTTTGTGGATTGTGAATAAAAGAGGCTGTATGTGCCAGTTCAGCCAGTTCTGCTTGACCTCAAAACGAAGTGTCGTCTCGTTATTGGGGGAATTGGATTGTATGCTGATTGCCAGGAGTGTAAGCTGATTGTATGCTTTTCCTGTTCAGCTGTTTAGGGCATTCAATGCTTGAGAGCATTTGTATGCTTCTCCGGTTCGGTGGTTGTGGTGTCTGCTGCAGTGCTTGGAGTCCTCAGGAAGCGCTAGGAGCATCCTTCAATGGAGGTACCCAGTCGGGGTGCCAGGTGATCCGTTACAGGGTGGATGGCTGGGAGTAGTGTGAGGCAACTGTCTCCTTCCCCTTCCCATAGTAGCTCTGCTAGCCTCCTTCCTTCCCTGGGTGTTTCACCTGGGCCTACCGGGCTCCCCTTGCCCTCCCCGTCCCCCTGGGGTGGGCCTACCATTCTGGGTCTGGGAGGGAGGGATCTGAATTTACCTGTTCTTTCAGGACCATGCTATATTTCAGGCATCACTAGGTTCTACTTCAGTTTCTTTCCTTTCCACTGATTGCTGCAGCTCCAGCCCAGCCTCCTGCTGGCATAGCTCTGCTGCTCCAGTTGACTCCTGCGCGGTCCAGTGAGTCTGGATTTGTATTGGAGAATGGTTGGGTGGGGGTTGGGGCTGGCTCTGGTGGTCAACTTGATTGGGTTCTCTGGTGGGGTGTCTCCAGGGTTTCTTGGATCAGTGGGAGCATAGCTCTGTGGGGTCTCCATGCCCCTCTTCTTTGGTTGCGCAGGCTCGGGCGGGGTGGTACGTTTCTCTGGTTACTTCGGCGTCGATGGCCCCTGCCTCAGTGGTCACCAAATCTCTTACCTCCACGGCGGGAGCAGTGGGGCCGCCAGTGGCCCCACCGAGTGTGGAGTGTGGAGGTTGCATTGGTTGCCCATGACGAGGCCCATATGTGTTGGTCGGGCCCTCTAGGGTTGTATTTGTGTCAGGAGGTCTGGGAAAAATTCTGGAAAGGGGAGTTTGTGGAAACCCTCTCACTGCTCCTGTTAGAAGAACTGCCCCCTCCTGATAAGGAGTCCAAGGACTCTTACAAGGATAAAGACAAATTCCGGTTTCCAAAACATTTGGTAATTGGCTCAGGGCCTTCTCGATCCTGGCAAGTGTCATTGGGGAGAAGGCTCCGGATAAGTGCTCGGCCCTATTCTGCATGTCGGGTATATGTAGGGTTGAGCTGGTGGTGCGACCAGTTTCGCCAGAGGTTGGCAGTTTGCCCATTCATTAGTTGGGATCAGATGGATATCGGCTTGTGGTTGGCGATTATGACTTGCTCGGCCTCGCATCAAGGGGGTATGTCATCCTTTCTTGGGAGGGCCAGCATAGTGAGACACCCCTCTTTGTTGGCCTTTCCCAGGCGCACAGGTTGCTGCTGGAAGTTTAACGAAAGCCATTGCAGGTGGGGGGCCGGATGCAAGTTTTAAACAGGAATGCTCCGTGTGTGAGGGTTCTCACTCCGCAGCTTCAAGCAAGGTAAGGCCGGTGAGCAGGGGTATACCATGGTCTTGGAGGGCGAGGATGCCGGTGGACATCACCGCATGCTTCCATGGCTAAACCGTTATAAGGACCGTAAGGCAGTGGAGCTGTTCCATGGGGGTTTCCTCAATGGGTTTGGATTCCCCATTGGGCTAGGGATTCTTCTGGGGTCTGTCAAAACCTCAAATTAGTTCCGGATCACCCTGACATGGTAGCAGACAAGCTAGAGGAGCTGTCATCGGGGCGTATGGTGGGCCGGTTCTCAGCTCCGCCGATTCATAACCTCCAGGTATCCCCATTGGGCGTGGTGCCCATGAAAGAGCCGGGCAAGTTTCGGCTGATTCATCATGTGTCCTACCAATTTGGTGGATTGGTGCATGATGATATTGATGCAGAGCTGTGCAGGGTATCGTATGCGTCTTTTGACTCAGTGGTTTGGATGGTCTGAGTTGCGTGTTCGGGGGCTCTTATGGCGAAAGCGGATGTCGAAGCAGCACCTGGACTGCCACCATCTGCTCGGCTGTTTTTCCAGATCAGTTATTATGTGGACTTGTGCCTGCCCATGAGTTGCTCGATCTCCTGTTTTTATTTTGAAAGTTTCATTACCATCCTGGAGTGGGTGGTGCGGGAGGAAGCTGCTTGTAACTCGCTGCTACACTACTCGGATGATTTCCTCTGTGTCGGTCCCGCAGGTTCGGATGTGTGTTCACAACTTCTTTGGGCCCTGGAGTAGGTCTTTTGGGGACTGAGATTGATACGGTCGCTGGGGAGTGTTGTTTGCCAGAGGATATAATGTCGGATTTGCACGGCCTGGTTTCAACCACCGGGTTTCTCAAGAAGATTGAATTATGACAGCTGCAATTGCTCTGGGTGGGCTGAGGTGGGCTTTCCATGCCGATGGATCCATGGGGTCTTGGGCTGACCGAATAATGTCCTGGATTTCCAGTCAAATGGAGAGCGATTGCAAGGTCTGTTACAGGTAATTTGGTTCTGGGAAGCGTTGGGCTGTTCTTCCTCTGTTTCAAGTAAGTTGTCCGGGCTCAGTTTTTGGTCCTTTGCTGTTCACTAAGATACCAGCTTCTTATCTCGATTCCAATGGATCAGGGTTTTTAGCATGACATTGGAGTGCTACCTGGTGCTACCTAGTGCAGAGTTTGGGGGGCGGCACTCCTTTTAGATAGGGGCTGCCACTAAGGCTTCACGCCTGGGGTTGTCTGAGGAAGTTATCCAAAGGATCGGGAGAAGGGAATCTAGGAGGTTCCGTTCTTATGTTTGTCCATCTGGACTGATTCCATTTCCCCTTTTATCTTCGTAGGTGCTGGAAGGCGAGTGTGGGTCATCGGCCATTCATGCATTTATTGGGCACAAAAGTGGGCTGACGTTCGGCCGGGGGAAGACAACTTGGTCTGACAGAGGTCCGTGGTTTCGGTTCCTGTGGTATGCGGTGGGAGCACCTGTTTCACTAAAATGGTCGCTTACTCTGTGTTCCTGATGTGCTCTTGATTCATTTGGGGTGAAACAATCTCAGCACTATTCCGGTGTGGGATCTGGGTGAAACGATCCAGAAGGATTTGGCTGGGTTATGGCTCAAGTAACCAAAACCTTGCATTGTCTGGTCTGAGGTGCTGTCCCAGGAATTATTGGAGGAGGGCAAGGGACACCAGGGCACTTGAATGGAGCAGGATCAAGCTGAATAAGCATATTTCTAAATTTGTGAAGGGAATGATGGGCTCACAGTGTGAGGGGTGATGGGTTCCACCTTACGGGGGTGGACCTGGATTTGTTTAATTTGGCATTGCAGGATGCGTTGGAGGAGGCCATGGCTTTGGTGTTGGGGTGGCCCCACTGATTTAGGGGGTAAATCAGTGGGTCTTGTAACGGTATATGGCCCTTGCCAACCGTGGGTTGGACCAGCGGTCTGTGGAAAGTGGATGGGTAGGGCTGACCCTCCCCTAACCTCAGGTACAGTTATGGATAACAGACATGCCCACTGAGCCAATAATTGTCTAGTGGTTAACATTACAAGAATTAAAGGCCCAGGAAAAGGCCTTGTGCTGGTTGGGCAGCTGCCCTAAGTGAATGTTTTTTTTGTTGGCATTATGTATATAGAATGTTTTATGTTATGAAGTTGAAGTTTAAAGATTTATATATTTATATTTTAATAATGTTGTGGCCTATTTTCTCCAAACAAGTCTGTGGTTTGTTTATTTCGGGCAATAAGTGTTTGGGGTTTATCGGTGGGTGAGGGTTATGCCCATACACATTTACCCTCAACCTACACACATGAAATTAACAAAATGGGCTATTGCATAAAAGACATAGAAATCTCAGAAAATAAATTTGTGTGAGTATACATGGACATTCTATATACAGTTTTAAAGGGAAAATATGAGCACCACAACCACTGCAGCCCTGCCTGCCCTGCCATGTTTAGCTAAATGTTTAGTGAGGTTAGAATGCATGCTCTTTTGCCTTAATTTAGTTGGACAGGGGTAAGATATTTTTATTTTGCTTAGTCAAATATTAATAGCATTGTGCCTAGTTATATGTATTGAATCAGATTGGACACAAGAGGTCATCTGGCTTTAAGTTCCCCAGCAGGGCTACAGCTGCCTCTTACACCCTAGGAGCAATGAGAAATTAGCAGCTACTGCTACATGACAACACTGTTATTTTACATAATCTTTTCAGTATAAACTTTCATTCTTGTCATGTACTTGCTTCAGCCTAAGGTTTCCAATTAATTTTAAAAACTGTGCTAGTCTTCATCTCTGCTCCTCATGTTTATCCTTGTTTCATGTTGGCATTTCCGTTGTCAGCATCCTCACTGTATAAGTGCAAACATTATTTTATGTTTACGTAGAATATATAACTGTACAAAAGATAGGCCTTGCCAGAAAATTCACCTTTGCTGTAGAAACTGTATATTATAGGGTCACTCTAAGAACCATAACCACTTCACCTTACCAAAGTAGTTATCGTGCAAACACTTTGTTCCTCATTTCAGAAATTACATTGTGGACATAAATACATTTTTCTCCGTGTATGGCCCAGCTGTTAATCAGCCATCTGGAATACTCTCTTCCTGGTTGGTAATATTAGCTTTGTATAGCGTCTAATCTGGTGTTAGCACAGTATGCTAACCCCAGAAGGTGACTTGCACAGGCTGCCAATGGCTGGGTGAGGTACACGTTGTTATTCCAGCATTTCCGGGTTCTTGGGTCAAGCCTCAATCTCATATCGCATCTGGCCATAATGATGTCAGAATCAAGCCTTGTGATGCTTTCCAATCGCAAGCAGGCATTCCAACACTCGTAAATGATTGTAAAAGTCCTTAATGTCCACAGTGTAACATAAAAACAAGTATTGCAATGGGGATATTAGTACACATAAATATATTAATGAAATTTAACATTAGACAAAAACTATCATAACATATCTAGAAGAGTAAATGATACAGAAATAGGCAAGTATAAAAAGTGGTCCAAAAATAAAAATATGAATAAAATCAAGAGATAAAAAAACTCTTAGATGGAAGAAGGGAGTATATATTCAAAATTATGTATAAAAACATTGATGTATGAAAATTGGTAAAATGTAAAAATAGATAGGGGGAATAAATAGGGAGGACAGAAGTCTGTCCAAGGGAGTATAGAAAACACATCAAATCAAAGTCAACGTTCAGACCTCTTGGTTGCATGGTTTTTAATGTATGTATCCAATACCGTTCTTTTTTCTTAGATGAATCATTAGGTCACCTCCTCTCTCGTTTAGGGTGGACTGTTCAATCACTAAACATTCAAGATTATTGATATTAAAAAGTGGGCATTTATTGCAGTGTACCGGTACTGAATGTGACCACTAAGGTGCAAGAGTGTACTGAGAACAGACAGCAGCTGAAATAGCCTGCCCTTCGGTGGGTCCCCGCTCAGATCCCAAGCTGGTTTTAGCTCATTTTGGCCATTACAGAGAGAACATATCTGAAGCAAATCAGATTGGTACCACCCATAAGGGCAGTCCAAATCTGAAATGTCAGCAAGTTCCCTCTGCACGAGAGACAGCAACCCCAGACGATCGTTTTAACCTTGTTAGGCATCATCAGTGCCATCTTTCCTTTTGTCCATCGAAAGGCCATTTCTTTCTATTTTTCGAGTTCAGTGTGGAAGTAAAGGTGTCAGTGCAGGCATCAAAGCATCCCCAACATGCAGGAACACATTTGCAGGTCATAAGTATGGACAATACCATCAATTTAGTCAATATTAAAGAAATATGCTGAGGAGCATTGTGTATTTGATCCACATGTCAGTCAAGACCCCCCCACCCAGTCCCCCCACCGAGTTCTGATTTTTAACCTCTGCCCTTCCTAGATGCAGAGATCAGAGAAAGCAAACACAAGCCACTCTCTTGGGAAACATAGAAACATAGAATGTGACGGCAGAAAAGAACCATTCGGCCCATCCACTCTGCCCCATTCTCTAAATACTTTCATTAGTCCCTGGCCTTATCTTATAGTTAGGATAGCCTTATGTCTAGTATGTTCTTTCAAATTGAGCCTTATGCCTAAGTCTAGGATAGCCTTATGTATGTTCTTTAAAACTGAATTCAAGTTCCCTGCTTCTGCTAGAATACAATTCCTGCTTAGTGAGATTCTTGCTGAGGCTACTGGAAATTAAAATATACATCTGAAGTAGTGGACTGGTAAGGCAATCAATTGCTAAACTGCTTATTTAGAATATAACTCCAATCGTCCTCATTCATTAGTTGCCTGAGCCTGATAAGAGTATCATCCACAATGGTATTATATAACATGTGGGTATCTTTTAACTAACCTGCACCACTAACTGCTTCACTAAATGCTAGAACTCTGCTTTGGTAGTGCATCGACTGGCAATGTAGGATATACTGCAGAGTTGAGTCCGGATACTGTAGGATATTCTACCACTAAGGAGCACTAGCAATTACTGAACTTGCAACACTCTGTAGTGGGTGATAGATAACTGTAGGAATAGTTACTTCAAGAAAGAGACAAACAAGCTTCTTCTAGCTACAAGCAGGAGCAACTGACTTTCTATTACAAGTACCAGAGTTTTTGAAACACTCAGCAAACAATACATAACTATATTCTTTGTTATAGTTCCCTTCCCCCATTTGTGCATGTCCACCCTGACAGCAAAGAGCTATCTAGGTCGGCCAGACAGATATCTCAGCAATCTCTTTTTGTATTATAGCAACTGTGTGTAAACACCTAATTTCCATTTGAATAGTAAAAATACTAGGAAGAAAGTATACATGATATACCTGTACATGTATTTAAAGTGGAACTGTCACTTCTCTAAAATTTAAACCATTGGAAAAAAAAACATTGCAAATGATCCATAACTTGTATTAACCATTTTTTTTCTCATGAGATGGTCAGTTTTCTTTTTTTATTATTATTATTATTACAGAGTTAGTAAATAACATCATAATCCATCTCAGACAAGACAATGCCAAGGCAAACAGAGAAGAGAAATAGAAACATTGTATAACTTCTTGTTTTGTGTACATGCTTTCACTCTGGAATGGGAGGCCAACTCACCATGATCTCCAAGCAGTCAGCAATACAATGCGGGTCATGGTGGAGTTGCGAATGTATTGCTGGGCCATGACACCTGCAGCATCTACCTGGTCAGGCAGGTTCTGGGAATGTGTGCCCTAACTTTGAGTCCCAGTGGTGACGGGAACTGGAACTTGTTGGATTGCAGAGAGGTGGTGGATAAAGAGATGGTCCATATGCATAGTGATATTCTAGATGACAGAGCCACTGGTGGACGTATTGGTTGGGACCAGTGGTTGGGTTATCGGTGAAGGTAGCAGTGTTTTTTTCTGCAGATGTGGCAGGTCTGCCATGTGTTGATATCCAGTTCCTTGTCCTGAAAAAAAAATGTTTTTGCTTTATCATTGTTCTACTTGCTGGAGACTTTTCACCTCATTGAAAAAGTAATCACAATGTTGGCCCTCCTCTCACCATGACAGGTTTTTTCTTTCCATAAAATGCAGCAAGTGAAAGTTCTCTAGCACTCGCCGAGCTAAGTGATTTCAGGAAGTTTATGCCTTGCAATGAAGCATGCTAGCCTAGTAAGAATGTGTGCTAGGATGGCATACCCATTTTGTGGCTGTGCATATCACCAGTTATGCTCACTGTGTTATTGATACCTACTACCCCACTTCCTCCTTGTCCTGGCAAAAGTATGCTTTAGAAAGAAACACAGTTACTAGCAATAAGATTTAAAAAGTTAAATTTAGCTCTGACACTCAAGGGATATTTATGATATTAAAACCTTATGACAA